AGTTAAAACAAGATTTTATAAAATAAACGTTTGAAAGTCGACAAGATATCCATTCAAAAAATTCCAAATAATTCGAAACCCGACTGTTTGTCCATTAGAAGCAACGACGTCCATCAGAACGCCACGGGAGAGGTAGACCAGGTGATTTCTGTACAGTGAGGAGGACTTGAAGCGAAGTTCCTTCGGTCTTTTCCCACTATCTGTTAGGTTCCGATCGCATACCACGACCTGAGATGGGTGTGAGCTCAATGGTCAACAAAGCTAAATTGTCCATCACTAATAAACACGTACTGGCGTAAAGCCTAGACACACGTGTTCTGCCGATCCTCTGTCGCTACATGAAGCAACTGCGAGGAGTTCGGCTTATCAGTGGGTTTCCCAGCATTCTTCACGTTTTATTTTTTCGGCTATACCATCTCTACTTCCCCCTCGCTGACTGCCTACACGTGCGATATACGACCGGACTTTATGCAGGGGCTTAGGGAAGCTAAACAAGCAAGTTTCAAAAAAGGCCATACTCAAAGAACACCATTGCAGCGTGACCCTAACGCCTAGGTGGAACGGACTGAGTTGTAAGTTGGTAGATTTTTAAAATCACGACTGTTATTGTGTTGTTATAATTGTGAAGTGCATTAGTCTGACAATACGAAATTATACGTTGGATCCGAGCTGGATGGACATGATTCACGCTTCCACTTCCCATAAACCAGCGATATTTTGAGCCACACCGACAGGGAATGAGGTTAGGCACCTTCGGCGATGTGAGCTGAGTCGTCGTATAATATGTGTCACAGACGGTTCCGATTTAACAGAAGTGGCCACCACTATAAAGGGCGATCTGTGCCCAGAACGTCAGCTGACAGTGTGAACATGCCGCATGATTTACATGTTTTCAACGGGGATTCGCAGATTTTACGTCTTGAGCGCTTCTCTACTTGCAATGGCCTTCTGTTTCGAAGGACTTCGTGGATTGGTTTTCCAGGCTTTACACAATGTGTCAGGCTTTTTTATCTTGTTAAGTCTTCACATGCCGTTTGACTGAGACACAAGTGTTTAAGAGAGGAAAGAGTTATACTGAGAGGTAGCAGTCCGCCGGGCGATGATCTTGTAGCGCAGCATAATTGTTTAAATCATAGCTGCTTATCTCCGGTGCAGCAAGTCAAGATCCACTTTCGGCTTAGAATATGCATGCGAGTATAAGTCAACAGACATATGAAACTAGTTAAACTTGCCCACTTGCTTCTTCAAGGAATCTGTGATAAACAGGGGTTTCTTCAAAAATAGAGTTCTATATTTATGGCCTTCTTCCGCCGGCTTGACGCTTTCGTCCAACGGAATAGCACTGCTGACAGCCTCCGTGGAGAGTAGAGAAGGCAGTAGATGACGTGGAAGTCCAATAACGCGAATGCGCCTTTAAAAGACCCAGAAAACTATTTAAAACCGCAAAAAAGGAATCTAATCTTGTGAAAGACAGACAATTTCAAGTACAATTGACTAGAGACGCCTAGTAGGCAAACGAGTTTGTGGGTGGGGCTAGGATCAAAGCAGTGCCCCAGTGACTGGATCAGGAACTGTAAGCTTCGTTAAGCAATCGAGCAATAATTATTGCTAGTTTTTCCCATTTTAGAGACCATCCCTGTTTGTAGACTGTTTGTCGCCCTACCGCGTGCGGAAGACAGTGCGAGACAGTGCGAAGTTAGCTCTGAGTCATCTACGGTGAGAGGTTTTCCAGAAAAATGTAAATTTATGTAGCCGGTAGGTCCATACATTTGTGCATAGTAACCTTTTTGTCTGACTGCAAACGACCGTACCACAGGGCTTTGCATAGTCATGCACAAACAAGAAAAGATATGTATGAGTAACTAGGACAACGGAGCACGTGCTGAATTCATTATGGTCTAGCTGCGACAAACAGTCGACAGCAGTCAAAGCCCTGCATTGTTCACAGTTATTTGGCAATTTAGGGAGATTTTTTAAACCGGATGGTGCCTTTCTTCAAGTAAAAAATTAAATGAGACGCAAGTTCAGCTTTTAAATCTCCTGAAAAATTAATTTCTGTTCGCGGTATATATCTGTATATTTAAGGTCTATAGGCGTAGACCGAAATTTTAAGTGTATATTTAGGTTGAAACCCGTCAACTACTGCGAAATATCCATTTTCTGCCGACAGACAGACTTGAGTAATATAAATTGATGTTGTAACTTACCATACTAACAGCCTAAGTACTAGTTAAAAGGCCTTGGCTGTTAGTATGGTAAGTTACAACATCAATTTGAGACGCGATTATCGATCCAAGGCGTAAAAGGAGGAATATTTTTGTAATTTTTAAAATCTTTGAAAATCAGTGAGAAAAGGATATACTGGTTAAGTAGCTATTTTTACAGAGTAAGCTGTTTGTAGGCAGCCGAATGAAGTCCGTTCAAAAGCCGACATCCTCAAGTGAATGAAATATTTTGAGATTAGACTGTACGATAATCAATTTTAATTCATATTTAAGTAAATTGTTGGAATCAAGAGCACAGATCAGGATTTCGGTTGATGTTTCATGAGATAGGGAATCTAATGGTAACACCGGCGTAATGGAACTCATGATCCGAGCGTGTATTTAAAGAAACTGTGTCGCTAAGGCGGGAAACCACCTAAGCCAGACCCCCGTCGTTGAGGCCCGACTTGACTGTGTTGCACGGCAGGCAAGCTAACACCGCGACCCTCCCCTCATTCTGTGTAGCTAGCTGCAAAGGCAGTAGACAAACTGCCAGTAGACATGAGAGTGAGAATAACAGACAAAAGGGGGAGGATGCGAGATCAGATGGAACAGAGGAGAAAATCGGAATTGCTGGTGTTTTCGACCAAGGAAGTATGCTGGACAGTGTCAACTAGCCCGTAAGGGGTCTAATATTTTTTCTCCTGATCTGTTTGCTTTTGAAAAACCTTTTGGCATTTAGAAAGACTTCAAGCAGCCTTCAGACAAAGACAGGAATAGGTACCTTACGAGAGGCAGATGAGTAACCGGTGTCTCCACAAGATCTGACAAAGGACGAAGGTCAGAATCTGACTGGAACCAGTTCCCGTCCAGCGGCTCTATTGCCAATGGGCTGACGGGGGTTCGTGGTGGGGAGCTGACGGAGTTTTTATGCGGCCAACTAATAGAACGTGCCAGCGTCGCTGAGGGCGGTGGAGGCGTTAACTGGTCCGACGGACAGGCAGACGATAGTGTCTTGAGAGTCTCAACATACTCCGTCACGTGGGGTTCATCCAGCTCCTGATGCCAGCCATTCAGGAGGGAGAAGAGGAGGCTACAGGGCGGAAGAGAATGCAATTTGGAAATATAAAAAACCACAGAGTGCAATAAAAACAGTTGTAGAGGGAGAGAGAGGGCTTTTCCGTACCCGACGAGAAGGGTGCACTGGCTCCAGGATGCATCTTTTAGGTGCTCGTGTTCCTTCTTGATATAGGCACGCAACCTGTCAGCAGCGTTTGCAAGCATCTCCTTTTGGATAGCGGGCCAACCTAGGATTATGGGGCTTACGGAGAGGGTTGAGGGATAAGTAACCAGGGTCCTCGCATCCATAGTCCGGGGTCGAGGGATGCTCTGCATGAGACGGCACTCAAACACAACCTTCTCCTCTGTTCGACGCAGGGCCACAGGCGAAGATGCCAGCTGATAGGCCCGAAGGCAGTATTGGTTGTAGAGGAACTGTTCATTTTTGGCCTTCATGTAGGCGATGCAACGTGCAGGTGGCCGCAGCAGGGCGGCAGCCCGGTGTTGTTGCACCCTTCGTAGATGCAGCTCATTGCTCTCCAGCATAAAGGTCAGAAAAGCCGCCTTTCGGCGATATCGCATGCGCCGGTAGAACTGTGAAAGCGTGTGGATCCGCTCAAAGAGGAAGGCGTCCTATATGGACAGACGAGTAAGAAGTAAATATGCACAAACAACGGGGTGTGAGAAGCGAAGAAGGAAGGAAAATGAGTCTTGGCGCAAACAAGGGTGAGTCACTTCCACGATGAAGTTCAATCACTCGTAAAGTGAAGTCCGATGAAGAGGTCGGTGACTTTACAGGGAGAATATTCAGGTTATTTCGACAATGAAGAGATAGACAGGAGGAGCGGGTGGTTTGCACCAATGCAGCTGTGTGAATTAATTTCTGTCCTCGAGCAACTATTTAGTGCGACAGGTGCATACACCCCCGGAACTCTGTGAAAGTACCAAGTCACCGGCAGGATATAATTGCTCATTACTTAAATTTCACTTGAAATAAAAGTTATATCGGAAAGACTCTTGTGGGGAGTTGCAAAGAGCATATTTCTGGTAACTAATGGTGGTCAGTCCTGTCAGCAAAAACGAGTAATACAGCCCCTGAAGAAGCTGTGGCGGAGTAGAAGTACGTAACATCGGTACCTGGCACAGTCCAAAAACCTATGGACCATCAGTGCGTAAGTTGAGGTTCCGGTAATTCACCAGTGCTGAATCACCATTGCTTCCTTCGACAGGTGCAGCTCCACCTACAAGATGGCTACGGTTGTATTTGCGACGCCTTGCCAATCTGACCAAGTCGAATTTTATTGGGTGTCCCGCAGTTCACCTCAGCTTTCTCTGCTTAGCCACAGACACCATTTCGATAAGATTTCACTGTCGTAATTAAACCAGTAAACTACAGTATTTGGGGAATTGCCAGTAAGCTTTGGCACATATTTCAGTGGTGTTCTGCCGCTGAAGAAATAAAATATTTTTTTATATTTCACAGAGCAGCTAATTACAGTGGATTTATCCGTTCAAATCACAATAATGAACGAATTCGTCCACCTTTCTTACTGATCGAACAAACTGGCTACCCTTTCTTTTGCACTTCAATACCGGCATACTCTGTCCAGGAAATGTCGTGTTTGTAAACATCACCGGCCTATCGTACTTGCGACAAGATTTGCCCTTTAATGAGATACCATGTCAAGAGACAGTGCGACGCCCCCGTTTCTGCACTGCGCACCACATTAGGATGAAAAAACTCATAACAACATTCTGAAGGGTATGCTGAGGTAACAAAGAATGAAGGTAGAAATCATGCTTTACTATCACTGTGTTTTTTTATCCAAGTTTCTACCAAACGCCACTTATCTCGCTGTCGTTAATGTCTCAAAAGAAGAAATCCTTCATCACCAGATTGGCATATTTAGGTAGCATCACTGTTTTATGCAGTTTCACACAAAAGGGGTTATGCAAGGGCAAGCGATCCGGCAAATCGTCTGATGCACGAATAAACTCGTTAACTTACACCTTGGGGCACCATCTCTTCTGCAAGCGCGTCCATCAGTTTCGTTGCTCCTTTCGTGTCCTTTGATGATATAAAAAGGGGCATAGAAGGATGGAAGCGCAGGATGCAGATTATGGTAGGAGAATAAAAGACAATGAGGCAAGTAAACGACGATAAAGAGCAAGCCACTGTGCTCGAAATCACTTCCGGTAGTCTTGACCCTGTATTGTTACAGATCCAGGTTGTTCATTATTATTTCAAAGCCTTGGTACATGCGTTGGCGCCGCTTTCAGTTAGGTCACCTACTATATAAGGTGGGTATTGGTGGAGCCAGTTAAGGAAGTGGTGTGCAAGTCTTCCTCGGCATGAGCCAATATGAGCGCCAGGGTCTTTACCACAGAGCGATAATTGTCTTCAGCATCAGCAGCTTGTGACTATTCCTCGGTTATACCGCAATAGCTGACAGATTTCACCCTGAATATTCATATCAAGTTTCGGACCGAGCTTTAGAAGGACTGTTTCCAAGGGTTTACTCCGAGTTCGCGCATTAATTTCTTCGGAAATTAACAAACACAATATTCTACCAACCCCAGTTGGCTTGGTGGTCTGAGCTGTTTCGCCTTCCTCTGTAAGTTTCAATACTTACGGGCAAATTTTTATCCGACGCATAGTTTCCGGCGTTCTAAGGACGTCCATTCGTCCATCCAGGCAAGCAGGGCTTAATATTTTAAAGTATATGCGCTGATTATCAGGTATTTTGACTCAAAGGAACTATTACGATGTCCCGGGTTAACTTTCTGCAGAAGGAAGTATGAAATACTCCAAACCAGATAAGGCCTGAATTCCGAGTGGAATATGGACGTAACTTTTCACTTTAGATATGTGATATGAAGCTCACGTAGGCGGTCGCCCAGTGGAAAGCAACCAGTAACCCGAATTACTTCCAGGAATCAGGATATATTTGTGTACGACAACGTCTGTGCCTCTCGATATCAACTACGTTAAGTCTCACGTTTAACATGAACGAGTAAGAGATAAAAGACACATTAAAATTGTTTACTACCTCAAGAAGTTGTGATTAAGTCAGGGAATTACCTTGATCGCGACCAGGTAGTCCACAACTTTGTACTGAGTTTCAATTACAATCCGTGGGAGAATGCTGGCCTAATGGGTCAGAAAAGGAAATATCTTCAGGTAAAACGCAGTAAAATATGTAAGAGCAGGACAGAAGGTGTATAGAGTGCCATTTTTTGGGGATTCATCGCACTTTCTCTATTTGAATCAACTGCTCAGTACGATGCTGAAATATCTTAATATCCGTATGGTTGTCACGCAAGTTCCCCTATCCCGTCGAAATCCCTGCAACTGGTTCGATGATGAAGACAAAGAAATTCAAGGTCTCTCTTTCTAAAAGGATCACGTTCGCGATGGTTCAACTGTCACGGCTGACGACCTCCACCGATATTCCGTGAAGTAGGTCAAGCAGTGACTCCACCGCATCTAACTCACGCTCTCCTTCCACAACCCCTGTGCTCCGGTTAAGAAAGAGAGTCAATAAAACGATGTGTGACCTACATTGCAGGAGTTGACTTTTATTACTGTAGTCAACCTTATTCTTAGGCTATACGAGAATCAATCAATACAGCGGCCACTTATTGGCGCAAATACCAAATAAGTATTGGATTTTTTAGAAATTTGAACAGGCCACATGGATAAGCGAGGAGGCGTATGACTGAAGCGTTGCTGCATTTAAAACTTTTTAAAAAAATAGCTAGTAAAACACCATACCCGCCAATGGAAAACTGGATGACCGGTTAATAGGATTCATCTGCCACCGACAATCGTATCAGTACGTTCCAGGGCAACTGAATAGTGGGATCAGTAAATATCTTCAGAAAGGGCAGATATAAAGGTTTTCTGTAGACTTTGGGAAGCCGTCACTCTGAAGATGTCAAATTTATCAACCCGAGGAGCTACGATTTCTCCAAGGGGTAATGCTATATTTTGTCCCATTTAGAAGTTAAATAAGGGGTCTTACGCAATTAGGTTGCCCGCTCACCTGTATGTAATTGCACCTCAGTGGCAACTTTTGTGGTAACTGTGCTGGTTCTTAATTGCCCGTCGTTCACATCTTAAACTACGGAGGTTATCGGGTTTGTCGATTGACGAAAACATTAATTCAATATGAACACAGCCATTTCGTTGAACGAATTCTGGGCACTGATGCTCAAAGAAATCTGCTGCTTGCATTTAGTGCATTATTTATAGACGAGCTTTCTATAAGTTTAACCGTACTGGTTTATTGAAAGCGTTCTCGAGCCCAAACTATTAACCGTCAGACGGATAGCACATGGGCCACCGCGATGGACTACCAGATGATTGTCAATCACCCTGTTTTTGATAATTGCATTATCCAAGGCGCAGCTGTCACTATCGGAATCAACGTGGATATCCAAAGTGCAAGTTGCACAATGATTTCTTTATTTATACGGTTGCTAATGTGGAAACCAGGCCATTCTGTGAGCCAGAAAACCAGTAGATCTGACCATTAACAATTCTTAACAAGGAATTCTCTCTCTCTCTCACCTGCTTTCTCGTCGAGTAGTCATAATTTTAGTCTTCGAACCCGAAGACCTCGCTTATCACACGCCACTGTGGAAATCTACGTGTACACCTAACAACACTTGGAATAGAGGTGGTAGGCAGGATAAATTTATTTATATTGGACTGATTGTGGCCTGTATATATCTACAGGCCTAATTTCTATACGAAATTTCGAAGGAAGTGTCTTATACGGGTTACATGGCTATTGGGAGGCATTAGTAGAGCATCAAAGGTAGAATGGAAGCATCTTCTAGATGCAAACAGCCGCAGTTATTAAAATCTGGAGTTGCGTAACATTCCAGACGCCTGATAATTTATACGATAGTAAAAAAGCAAGCCCAGTGTTTCAACCGTTCCAACATCTGTCCAACCAGTCACAAGATCACCATAAGTGAGTCTGAACCAATTACAGCAATGACCAGATATGAAGTCTGTGATGCAGGTTTCACGAAGCCAGCAAGGCATAACACATTTGCAAATACCATAACAGGGTCCAACCACGGAAAGCAACTACCAAATGAGCAAAAATATCGTAAAGGAGCACAAGGTTCTAAGCAAGCAATTTCCTTCGGAAATCTTTATAACCCAACTTCGAAAATCATTTTCCGTTAACGCTCAACGCCTGTCAGTAAACTGTTGAGTTGTGAACGCATGAGAAAAAGGCACAACTTGGGTTCTTAGTGGCAGTCCAAAAACAGGAAAATCACCTAACTGGAGCAAGTGACGTTCAACGGAGATTAGGGCAGTATGTTCAAACAATTTTAAGCGAATAAACACACGCATACACACGAACGAGGCCATAATTTCCTTTCTATTGTAAGCAGCAAGAAACGTTTCGGCCGGAATTAGGAATGAACGCGAGAAATTCATATCGACGAATCCGTCTTTTAAAGGAGTCATATTCAACGAACGTACTTTTCCGATTGTTTATACAGAGGCCTAGATAGCAATAAAAGTAAATCAGGGGAGAGCAGCGGAGGGCGAAAACAGCAAGGATGGACAAAAAATTTCACTGGAATTGACTGTGATACGCATAGATTACCTTGCGATAAAGCAAAAGCGTCCGAAGGGCCTGTGTCAAGAAGTCTATGAGACGCTTTGGGGAGGAGGAAGTCGAGTTGAGGACAGCCA